GGTGGCGGCCTGGGTGGCACGGCTCGGCTACCCGCAGTACGAGGTGAGGGCCCGCAGGACCGGGGAGCCCTGGGGGGCCCAGCTACACGTGCATTAACGCACTTTAGTTAATGCACATTAAATCTACTACTTCCATTGTGAGGTACTAAGAAAATGTGCATTTGCCCCTATCTTAATGAGCATTAACTCAAGGACACACTTTTTAAGTGATGCTAAATGCATATTAACCTATTTTAATGCTCATTAACCAAATAGCACAGGGCATATGTAGAGGAAACGGGCCGTAAACTAAAGCGGTGGGTTTTAAAAAACAGCGCTTCAATCTAGGGCTGATTAAACCCCCCATGTCATGCACTCACCCCTCTGACTTACCTGCCTCTCCAGTGGGGAGGGTGAGCTACCAGTGGGCAGAGAGCCCCTGGGCTCTGGTGGGGCTGGTGCTTCCCTCTGCTGCAGCAGCGCCCCACCAGGCAGCACCTGCCCACAGGCACCCAGCTCAGGCAGTCCTGGGGGACACTGCAGCTGCAGAGGGAAACACTGGCCCCCTGCGCAGTTTAGGCAGGCTCTGCGGTTTGCGGGGGAATCGGGCTCAGTGCTTTTCTTGGGTGGAGCTGCTTTCCCCGGCTGCTGCCTGCTGAGCCATGCTGCTTGCAGGGCTTCCTGCAGAGCCATGGAGCTGCATGGAGCTTGGTGCTTCGCTCCGCAGCTGTAGGGGCGGCAAACTTAAACTCCTTGAAGGAGTTTAAGTTTGCTGTGCCCCAAGTCATTTAAGGCACATTATGCCGCCAAATTTCCTACAGTGGCTGGAATTAATGAACAATATGTGGCCGAGGCATGCAAACACCAACACTATTAAAGTGGTGCAAAAGCATTTAACCAACTTTAAAGTGTCGTGCAAACACACCTCTCATTTCATCTACACACGGCCGCTGTCTTTTAGTGACACTTTAATCTGCATTAAAATAGGATAGTGCACATTAAAGTGCATGTGTAGATGCGCCCTGGGGTCCATGCAGGGAGCACACCCCTTCAGTGGTTCCCTGAAAAGTCCTAAAGCAGACAGGCTGGGGGCAGGGGCCACCTGGGCCTGGTCCAACCCCTGCCAGAGGCAGGACCAGCCCCCTCCAGTTGTCGCTTCCCAGGTTGGGGCAGTTTTGGGGTGGGGGTGAGGCCCTGTGCCTGCTCGGGCTGGCAGTACTCCCTGACTCCCCTGGCAGGACTGCTTCATCGCCAACAGCATCACAGGCCGCAAGCTGGTCCATGTGCACTGCCGCAGCCTGCTGCAGATGGGCATCACCAATTTCGAGCACATGAAGGTGAGCAGGGCCTTGGTACCCCTGGTCCCCCTGAGCCGTGTCACGTTCCCTCCCACATACACATGCAGACCGGCCTAAGGGAGTGGAGGCTGGGCCGGCAGTGACACAAGGGACATAAGGGAAGGTACGCCTCAAAGATTTCTCTCCACACCTTTGCTGAGGCTGTAATGGGAGATCACAGTCCAGGCTTGTTCACGGGGCTTCCTGTGCGTGCCCGTGTTCCAGGAACAGTGCAGAGAAGCTCGTGGCCCTGAGAATTGCAGCCCAGCTGTGGAGGGACTGCCAGGCTGGTGCTTCATGGCATTGCACAGGTGTGATGCAACGGACAAGCCTAAGAACAGCCTCACTGGGGTACAGCAACAGTTCATGTAGCCTAGCAGTCGGCCTCTGACAATGGCCCTGTTGAAGTGTCCTGAGACCTCAAACTGCTCTGTGTTGGGTGTCACCTCATTCCTCCTCCAGCTGTCAAAGGGTTGCTAGAAAGACCTTGAGCCCAGAAGTAGTCCAGCCTGAATGCCATTAGTATGGGGCAGTCTCAGGTAAGTGAGCTGAGAAACTTAGGCCCATGATGATACCAAATGACAACCCCAGGTAATGCCAAAGGTTAGAGGTCATGACTCAGAGCTTCCCTGTTCCCTGCTGGAGCTGTCCACTGGCATTACCCCCTCCCCTCCCCCGAGTCACCAGCACTCTTATATTGAGACATGTCCCAAGCCTAAAGTTACAACCTTGGTGGACCTGTTCTCCATAAATTGGTCTAATCCCTTTTTTAAACTGGCTACACTGTTGGCCTCCATAATGTCCTGTGGCAACTTGTTCCACAAGTTATCACATGTGGTGTAAAACAGCACTTCTTTTTGTGTATTTTCAAACTTGCCACCTGGTGGTTCCACTGAGTGCTCTCTAATTCTTATCAGTTTTAACAAACAATAGTTTCCCATTCACTTTTTTCCCACTTTTCATGGGCAGCAGCAGGATTGGCGCTACTGCAGCCCCAGGAGGTCCCTAGTGTTACCACCAGGATTTCTTTTGCCAGAAACTCCCAAGGATTCACACAGCCCCTAGTCCAATTTGGTATCAAGTGAACTTTAATAGTAACCCCTAATCTTTATTACAGGTTTCCTCCCTGTAATATGACCTGACAAGTGGTTCCTTCAGGTATTACAGCAGTGACCTTCAGTGATACTGGCCTTGGATCCTTTGCTGGATGTGTGGGATATTTGTTTCTGGATTTCCCGTTGTTTGAACAAGAATTCCATGGTTGGCCGTGCCTCCCCAGGGTGACAGCACGAACACAGCAGTATTCCTTTATTTGTCCACCAGCTTTTGTAACTTTCTCACCCCAAATTGTCCAATCCTCAAGTTTCTTACCTCAACCTTTTAGATAAGGTACTCCAACCCTATTCCGTTTTTGCTTTTCTTTCCTTCTAGGGAAACTGCTGTATCTGGTTTGCCTACTGTACCAATCACAGCCCTCGCTTTTCCCACTGCCTCTGTACAATTTTATTGCTTAGTTTGGGAAGACCTAAACTCTGTTCATAGATTCATAGATGTTAGGGTTGGAAGGGACCT